GAGAGAGAGAGAGAGAGAGAGAGAGAGAGAGAAATAGCTTTCAATTACATTGTTAAAAAGATGCCAAGGCCTTTAGAAAAATCATATACTCACAGAAAAAGTGGTCTTGGTTAAACAGATATCCTAATTAGAATGTGGTATTTTAATGTACTCTTGGTTTCCTTTGACAGAAAAGAAATCAGCAAGAAGATGACTGAATAGCATGCTAAAGTTCAAGAACAAGCCAAAAAGAGGAAACCATCGCTACTTCCCGAGTCTGGTCATACATAGTTCACAGTTTCCTATTAGCCCAGTCGGGTGGGGGTTGGGGGTGGCTTGTGGAACTCTTAATTAGCTTTTATATTCGTGTATATTAAGCTGGGAAAAAATGGAGGGGCTTTGCTACTTGTAAAGATAACATAATAAATAGACCTTAAACATAGGAAACCTTACTGTTCTGATGCTAAAATACTTTCTATGAAATAACTTTGCTCTTTTAGCTAAGTCTGTTTTGCTTTATCTATGTTTCTTATGCTAATATTTTTGTACCTTTCAGTAGATGGACAAATTTATGTTACACAGAAAGGGAGTCTTTCTAAATTTATTGCTTTCCTCTTAAAAAAAGTCAAACCATATATTACCATAGAAAATATTTCTCATAGAGGATTTTCATACAGTTTTCTTACCATTTGAGCTTCAGTTTAGCATAAAAAGAATATAGATTTTTAAGTGATAACATAACCATGAAAATGTCAGTATTTTTCACCATCTTCATGTATATTAGTATAACAGCCCAGATTTAATTATAATTGGCCTTTTAAAAAATACTGGAGTTTTGGGGAGGTGGAACATTTTTTAGGCTGTCATTTTAGTAATGAATCTTTGGTGCCAGAATTGAGGTGAGATCAGTGAATTCTAATTGACTAAACCCTGATGCTATGCCAAGATACCCCACTAGTGTGCTTGTGTTACTTTATATCACAGATCAGTTTGAGGGAAGTGGGCATTAGTTTCCGAGGGTTTTCCTCTAATGTATCAAAGGATGTCTTACTGTTAGCGACATTTTCTCATCATAAGAAAGCACATGCAAGGAAGAGACAGAGATCCAAGGGGCAGTTACCCCTTGCTGTACAGTTAAATAGATTACTTAGAATGACAGAAGAGATCCTTTCTTTGGTTAACTCAAACTGTAGATTTGTATGTGGTTTCTCAGTTACAACTATTTCACATGTGCATTTTAAATACAAAATAACCATCAGGTTGTGATCTTGTATTTGGTATATGTAATACCATTTCTGAAGCCAGTTGTTTGAAGGCTCAAAAATAATTTTGTTATTTAAAATTTTAGTTTTGAATTACCATCTTACTTTTCTGGCATTACCTGTTTTTCCTTTGACGTACTTCAGATTTGTGCTTGAATTAGAAGGTGAATATACAGGTGATTCCTTAGCATCCTAAGAGCCTACCTTCTGAAGACATGACAGCTATTGATCTTCACGACTTGGGATAAGCATGTTTACTTTGTCCTGCAGGTATGGCAAATAGCACAGGCCTCCAGTACAGTGGACTTTGCCAAAATTTCTGCTTTAAAAGTTTCATTTTGATTTGCATTTTCTTCATCCATAAGTTTTATCCTCATCTAGTCAGCTATTTCTCTTTTTGCTAAAAAACAATCTGAAAACCTATGTGACTGAGTTTTTTTGGCTTATGTTTGTTTTCTCAGCTATACAATGGGCAAATAATAATCTTAAGTTCATATATCTTTTAAGTGAGACAACCCATGTAATGCTTTTGGTTTAGTTTATCATATGTGATAAACCACCAACAGATGCTTGCTAGTGTCATCCTGCTTTGCAGACCTCTGCATGCAGTGAAGGAAAGTCCCTTTTAACAGAATGAAGAAAATTTTGAGTGGAAGGACATTTCAGAGATCATTCTACCTATTTTCTTTTTCTTGTCTCTACTCTCCCTTCTTTCCTTCTGTTCTCTTGTAATAGACAAGATTACTACCCAGAGGAAGTAAGATTTTTCCAAAACTGAAGTAGAATTAGGACTATAGAAGAACCAACTAACTGAAGGCTTTTTTCCTAAGGGTTTTTAGCTAATATTTTTGACCCAGCAGTTCCACTTTTTAAAATTATATTAATTTTTATTAGCCATATACTTCATTTTATTTTATTTTTTTTTAAAGATTTATTTATTTATGCATACAGAACTGGGGTACAGGCCAGAGGCTTGGGGCGGTGAGAGGCTTCATCAGAGACAGAGTGGGGAGCAGAACAGGCAGATCGACGAAGTACACTGCTGAGGGGAGCAGTGGGCTGGTCAGGAGAGGTCTGCCACGCCATGTGGTCACCTCTGGGGCAGGCGGGAATTGAACTCATGCGGAAGTGGCTTTAGCTTCTCAGTGCAGTGCTTTAACCCGCTGTGCCACCAGGGAGGGCCCTATTTTATTATTTTTGCATCATTCTTTATTGCATTTTTTTCATCTCAGTTGTAATCCCTGTGGACTTCCCATCACCAATTCACGCATGTGCTATCACCATAGTCCTGTGCATTCTTCTCACCCCAATTTTGATTCCACTCCCCTCTTCACCCCCATAAAATGTCTCTGGTTTATAGTTGTTCATTGTTTTTGTTTTTACTTTTTACTTTATTACAACTGTCATGTTTTTCCCCCAATCCCTTATGCTCCTGCTATGAGTGAAACCATCTGATATTTTTCTTTTTCTTTCTGTTTATTTCACTAGCATGATCCCACCCAGCTCCATCCATGTTGCTGCAAATGGCATAAGTTGATCTTTTTTGATTGCTGAGTAATATTCCACTGTGTGTATGTACCACATCTTTTTAATCCAGTCATCTTTTTTTGGGCATTTGGGTTGATTCCACATCTTCCCCATTGTAAATAGAGCAGCAATAAACATGGGGTGCAGGTGTCCTTTTGAATTAATGTTTTTGTATCCTTTGGGTAGATACCTAGGAGTGGGATTGCTGGGTTTTATAAACTGCTAAAAATGGGGCTTCCATATGACCTAGGCAAGTACTTTTATAGAAAAGTTTCAACTTGAGAAGTTATTTTAACTTACAGTCTTTGAAAATAAACTATATTTTAAGATAAAAGTAAGTCCAAATTCATCTCATATTTGCATGTGAAGGAATTAAATAAAGAGATACTAAATACATCAAAATTAAATAAATGTTTTTGAAAGGTGAATTTGGATTCATGTTTATCTAATCTGGTTGATCTTGAAAAGTAACTAGCCAATTTTAGACATTTTTAAATACAACTCCTATTTAAATCAACATTTTTGTTTTATTCACTTGTTGTATTGGCTCAGAGGAAACAGTATCAGTAAGTATGCTAAGAAAACAATGGTAAACTTGCATTCACATACAGTGCAGGTACATTCTGAATACATATTATTAAGAGGAAGCTTAAAGAATAGTAACAAAAGTTAGTTGAATAAATAGCAAAATTTCCATGTTGTGGAGTTAGACAGTAAAGTTGGTATTAATTACCTGGTGTGAGTGAATGCATTAAATGTCTCCTTTTAAACTGAAGGAAAACCAAAATGAAAGGACAGTTCTAAACAGTAAAAATGAATCAGGGTGCAGCAATAAGGTCAGAATACTGCCCCTGTGACTCATTTACTCAGCTGTGTGTGGGTCCAGGACAATGTTAGGTACTACTGTGTGAGTCTCCTAAATGTTCCTGTCTTTATAGACCTAACAATAAGTATGCATTAATAGATCCATAAATAAAGCTATAGGAATTGTGATGAGCAGAATACAATAAAGAACAATGGAGTGTGATACAGATAATTACTTTTGTAAAAGAAGCAATGTCTGGGGAGACAATATTTCAGCTGAAACCTGAGGGTGAGAAGAAATCAGCCACATGAAGAGGAGCAAGTCTCCCCACAGGAGCATGCATGTAGACCATCCTCAGGTAAGAAAGGCCTGTGTAGAGTTGCAGCTTCCAAAGACTACTGTGAAATAGGGAGAAGTGGCAGGGTTGGATCATTCCAACAGTACCTTACCCCTGGTAAAATGTTACAGTTTCTTTCTCAAGTGGGGAGGGAAGGGGAGATTAATAAGCCAATGGGCAACAATCTGATTTAAGGGTTTGAAGTTGAATCCTGGTGTTCGTGTGGAAAGCAGTTCATTTAGAACAATGCCTAGTGTGGCGTCTTCCACTATAGGGGTGGCATTGAGATGAAGTGGAGGAAAGATGGGGATACAGTTGATACAAAGCATTACAGAAGGACATGAAGGCATGAAGGACAAGGACTAACTGAGGGCTCTGATTTGAACTACTGGGTTTCGAAAGTTTAGACCAATTTGCTAAGAAAGGACAGTTCGGGAGGCAAATCATTTTGGTTTGGGGCCTAAAGAATTTGAGATTCCAGTGATTTACCCAAATGAAGATGTCACAAGACAGTTGAATGGTGGTTAAAAAAACAGAAATAAAGATTGGAGGAAAGAATATGTTAGCATTTAAATCCTCTGGAATGGATGACGTTACCTCATGAGAAAAGGCCCTAGGGGAAACTGAACACTTAGAATTTGTGTAGGATGCGGGGAGTAGATTCAAAAGACATAGCAAATGTCTTTTTTTGAAGGAAAGAAAACAGGAGGTAGCTTTATGTGTTACTGTATGGCACTCTAAAAAGTTGAATAAGATAACAAGAAAATGTTTCTTCTATGTTATGAATGGTAATATTTTAGCATTTTAAGAGACCTACTATGGGTGTTTAGTGTGATTTTCATGGTAGTTCTTCTTTTGAATAATATACAAATTTGCATGACAGAATTTAGTAATAGCTGATAATATAATCATTTTGATACTCTAATTGTACATTATTTAATTTTGTTAAAATCTCAGTCTGAAGTAAACATGACTTAAGTTATGTTTTCTGCATCATTGATTTTCTCAACTATTCAAGATAATGTGTAGCATTCTAGGTTGGATTGTCTCACCTGGAATGTATGGGCCTTTATTAATCAAGTGAAGAATTAAATAATTTCTCATACTAATTACAGGTTACCTTTCCCCACTAAACTCAAGGAGGAAAAATTTACAAAATGTCACTATTTTGGAACAAGAAAGCAGAGGGTGTCAACTACCTATTCATGGTGTATATATATATATATATATATATAGTCATTGGGAAATAGGGTAAATAACAACCACCTTGAATCAAAATTAGCTAGAGTGGCTTTTGAAGAGCAATGAATATCTTTAGATTCTGATGAAAGTTATGGGCTTCCCTCTGAAAAATTTTGTACACAATTGCAGGGTATCATAGGCACCAATCAGAAACCCTTGGGCTAAAGCTATGTGAGATTAAGCTAAGGAGCCCTGGGTTCTGCAGCTATGAGAGTTGAGCTGTGTTGTAGTGTGTAGGGTACCTCAGGAAAATAAAGCACAGTTTATAGCAGTG